AGAAGAACCCGTCCAGAGGACCTATACAATTTTTTTTCCTTTGATTTTTTACCTGGATTACTGAGATGCATCAGTACACATAATATTGCCCTTTTAATTGTTTGTTGTACAGAATGTTTACAATTCTTCAGCTGAAATAACCACATACTTACGTGGATAAAGTCCATGACTAATCACTTCCATGGTGACAGATTCCCAAAAGGATTTTGCATTCACTTCTCCATTGTAATTTTGCGGTGGGTTTGGTATTTCACTAACTTTAGAAATATAACAAATAAAGTATTACATATTTTTGGAAATGCTCATTTTAGATGACTTAAACATTTTCTATAACAGTATAAGTATCACTACAGGTCTCAAAGCTAAATACTTACCAGGCATGCTGAAAACACCTTTCTTATGGAGGTCCATGACTGCTACAGCTGGATGATAACCACATGAAACACATGCGTAAAGATAGTCGTGATCAGTCAGACCCTCGAATGACAGATATGCGTGAAGGATCTGATCCTTGTTAGGAAAGCTTTCCCCTTCTGTGTATTCAATCATTTCAATGATACGGCTTACAGCAGTGTGAGTCTACAGAAACAGTAAGAGCATAATTGCGCAATCAGAGTCAGACATCTAAAAAGCACACAAACATGACAAAATTTAAACTTACCATTTGTTCTAATTTTATACACACGAACTTTAAATTTTACACAACTCATTAAAAAACAAGCACTAACCTGCAGTGCGTTTCTCAGTACAAGGCACAAATGTACTGACAGTAGCATATGATCGTTGAAATTGTGGATGCCATCTTGCCAGTCTTGATATCGATACACCATGTTACAGTTGGGGCAGGTCTTCCTGTATGTTGATATACCTACGAGAATATTAAAAAGATTTTATAAACACCCAAAGCTGGTACAATGTAAGCCACAATTATACAGTATACTTGTAATCAGACAATAACTTCCAAACCTTTAACTAAACCACAGGAAGTCAATATCGTTGCTGTTGCAGATACCAGCTGTGGATCACTAAGAGGGGCGTGTTGTTCACATTCTGTGCATTCAGTCTCTGATGGGATCAGATGTTTTGGGAACCCATTGAGAGCCTTGGCATCTCTGCTTCTGGTGATAAGTGTTTCAGGAAGATCGGCGGGTATCTTCTTGTGTGACATCAAATACTTGATCATCCTTTCAGCTGCAGCGTCGGTGATTGATGCACTTTCCTCATCGCAGTTCCAAAGATCAGCACCGCACGCAGCATCCTCCTCTGGACTTTTTGCCGTTTTAAACATGTCTGGCATTTTCTCAAACAGATGCCATTTTGCTATAGCCTTATGTGTACAGGACCTCTTCCCATCTGTGCAGGGACAAAGCCAGGTGTTTTTCTTGTTGTCGTGAGTAACAATCACCCTACCAAATCTATTACAAAATGATGTTTCAGGTTCAAAGACAGAGACGTGAAATGTAGTTTCTGTTCCACTGACACTAAGAAGAACTGACAAAGGCGTACTGTTTGCGATGGCTTCCTGCTGTTTCTTTAAAAGAGCTTCCTTTCGCTGCAGACTGAACCACATGTTCTCAACCAGTAGATCAAGTGTACATTCAGACAGTAGATCAAGTGTAGATTCAGACAGTAGATCAAGTGTAGATTCAGACAGATTTCCTTCAAAGCCTGTGACACCAGGGCAAAAATGTAGTGACTGGATATGTTCACACTCAAAAGGCAGAATCCCGCTCCGCTTGGCAACCTGAGCATTATGAGTACACTGGTCAATCTCACATTCTGATCTGTGAAACTGTGACCAGGTGTCTTTTATTACATGTATAGGTTTTGATGGACCAAAAAATGACTTCTCAACAGCAAAGATGCATTTTTTGGGATCCACACATTGACTCCTTAAATGATGATTCGGTGAAATCCGCACCAAACTGTTCTGGTGCTTCCTTCTGAGATGAAGTCGAAGATTTTTTTTTCTCATGCGCAAGTTGCATATTTCACATGTAATGATATCATTTGACTTTAAGTGTGCCTTTGAAAACAGAGCAGGTGAGCGTGCTGTTGTGGCCGCCCGGATGTTGGTTGATGCTAGCTGGACAGGTAGCTGTGCTGTTCTGGCCGCCCGGATGTTGGTTGATGCTAGCTGGACAGGTAGCTGTGCTGTTCTGGCCGCCTGGATGTTGGTTGATGCTAGCTGGACAGGTAGCGGTGCTGTTCTGGCCGCCTGGATGTTGGTTGATGCTAGCTGGACAGGTAGCGGTGCTGTTCTGGCCGCCTGGATGTTGGTTGATGCTAGCTGGACAG